CTTCTGAGTTATTTCACTGCATCGCGACCACAACATACTTGAAAAAATTCTTATTTTGGTCCAAGGTAGAGGAGACTAAAAATGCCGTATTCACGGCATGCTAACTGAGAACACCAACGTCATCTATTGCCAGTGGTCCACTAGGAGCACTTCATGGACTGATTTCCTTCTATTTTTGTTATACCGTGGTTTGTTTGGCACACCGTATGGACCCACAAAAGTGCAAAGTATTCGGGATTGTTATCAGGCTAACCAAGAGCGTTCATTCTGTGAAGTATACATAACTAAAAATCACCAGTTGCTAAAGCTCTCCAGGGTCATAAGAATCTATTTTAGTGGTACCTTATCCTGTGACAATGAAAAAGTGCGGCGGATAAGGTTTAGCAACTGTTCGTTCCTCGTTTCAGTTAACTCTGTTTACCTTAGGTTGACCGCATAGGANAACCTAATGTATTTACGATAAAACACATGCGTAATCATTTGTTAGTATCTTGCTTATGGGGCCTACCCTTAAGTTTTTTTAATGCTTGGACATATGTTTGACGGAAATTTCTGTGTATGAGTTTCGAAAGGAATAGCAGCTTCAAGAACATCCGACGCCACATACTACACTTTGTATGTCGTTCGTCCTAAGAGGCTAATTCGACAGCTCTGATATTTTCACCCTTGATGACTAAAAATTAATCGAAGCATTTCAAAACCACTTAACAGTTAAGTTGTCTACTTAGCCTGAGATAATTGTTCAAATCATGTTTCGATGGATATTTATGAGATATTTATTTATAATTTGTGTTGCAAAATTATTACCATTCTCAATGGGACTCGAACTAATTTGAAAACAAATTACGCATTTTGAATGAATTGAGTGTAATACAGTTATCATAGAACCGTTAATTTGACTGGAACATGACCTGTCTATCGAGGTTGGAATTGAAATGATCAGGTGCGCCATTGTTATGGTCTCCCTGTTAGGTATGTTTATTATCCATCACCGGTTCTTTCCGCAGCGACAGCCATTTTGTGATAATATTGAGAGTTACTAACAGTTATTTGAATTCATCCCCACAAATTCCGCAAATCCTAGGTTCCAGAGGCTTACTTTGGACCGATCGATACGCTCCGTCTAGTTGCGCAACTTTACTGTACAATGGACGTTCGTTTGATCAAATGAGGCGCTGGTTAGAACAATGGAAGACACTGACNGACACTGACTAATTCTTCTGGGAAAGCGAACGATAACAGCGAGCGTAATCCTATTACACCGTCTCGAAGTGAGTGTCAATTTTATTGTGCGTCCACGTGCTCTAGTTAAATGACAAGCGACGTTTCGCAATTCGCTTTTTACTACTAATCAGTAATATCAAGTGCAATGATAAAACACCTCTCGGTTTCCTGCACACCTAATATTGCTATCCCTAGGGAAGCCCAAGTTCAATCACCATTGCACATGACAGCCATAACAAGTCGGAGCATATTAGTATCTTTCACTGTGCCTGCGCGAGTTCTAGTACTACTACTAATACCACCACCACAACAACTAATAATAATAATAATAAAACAGCAAAGTTACCAATAAAGCAAACTGAAGACGGTGATTTTGCTGAAAGTTAACGCAATTGATTTTAGTGGTGAATTTAAAATGGTCATTCGAAAAGTGATCAATGAGGAAACCAATGAGAACATGGTGGGTGAAATGACCTCTTGCATTCAACGCTGTAACTACTGATATTTGTCAATTATGATAGCCAGTTAACTTGCGTATCGGCACTCATAATGCTGTAATTCCATACACCGAAACAATGTTGATGATGACGGTGATTCATTCGTCAATGACAGCCAAAGTGTGCAAAAATCCATTTTAATAGTCTACTCAGTTTACATTTATTTGAGTTCCTCACCTTGGTTCTATAAATTGCATAGTGAATGAACAGTCTTCAAGTCTTCTGTTTGAATGTGAGGTCGGATCATTTAACCATGGAACTTCATAATGTATTTGGTCATATTTCAATCGTCGTAGACGAAATACTGGAGAGCGCACTAAGGGGACTCCAAAACGTAGGTATTGAATGGATAGCTGGAGAAAAGCTATGCGATTTGGAGTATGCCGATGATATCGTCTGTCTGTTCGAATGTATGGAGGACGCGCAAAGTGCACTTGATAGATTAACAAGTGCAGTGGCCACATTCGGTATGTGCTTTGCACCTTCAAAGTGCCTAGTGCTGCTGCAGGACTGGGTTTCGTCTACTCCCACTCTGACACTAAATGGCCAGGATTTAGTTGTGGTGGATTACTTTTCCTACTTAGGTAGTTGCGTGACCAATGACGGTAGTGCAGCAAAGGAGATAACCGCCCTCATTTCCAAGGCCCGAGCAGCATACGCAGGACTGAAACACCTTTGGCGTAGACGCGACGTTTCACTGAAGTTGAAAAGTCTTGTATATTGTGCTAGCGTTCGTTCAGTCCTGCTTTATGGTTGTGAGACTGAATTTGCGAGTAGAAGATATCCGTCGACTAGAATTTTTCGATTATCGGTGTTTACGCAGTTTAGCCCATATTGGATGGAGCGAACGGGTTAGTAACGTGGAGGTAAACCGTTGTGTGTTTGGGAGTCTATCAGGCATAAACCTGCTAGCATACCGAATTCAGATTACTAGGCTTCGGTGGCTAGGGCACGTATTGCGTATGCCCAGTCATCGCCTGCCGCACCGCGCTTTATTCGCTGTAGCTAATCCGGGCTGGAGGAAACCACGCGGAGGTCAACAGATGACGTGGAGACGAGGCATGAAGAAATGCACAGAGCCATTAGGTGGAGTAGGTGTCTCTCGCCTTCCAGGTTGGGGTCCGAAAGACTCCACAACTGGTTGGTTGGAGACACTGAAGGATATGGCAGCGAATCGAGAGCAGTGGCGTTCTTATTGTCGTTTCTTATCAGGTCAGAATGCTTGAAACGTTATGTATTCAGAGTTCGTTTGCGTACTCTGTGTGTTGACCATAGTGGCTCATCTTCTCCCTTCCTCAAAATAGATCCAATCCCTGTCCACCTTAAATTTTACCACTAACCTTGTATGCATTGTGAGTTTNCGTCTCACTAATTACAACCAAAATGACGCTTTTCTATTCCTAATTCACAAACTTGGTGTTTGAAAGCGAATTTAAAACCGCTAAAAGTTTCGCGGATTCTTCAAAATTAGACCCCTACCCCCGTTCGATTGCGCTGCAGGTTGGATCAAACTTGTAGGTTTATTGTATAATGGATGCTGAATCTAACGTTCTTATCCCCGGATTTGTTCTTCAGATTCCAGCCGAAAAGCCTTGTTTTCACGGTGTGCAGTTTCAGATGAGGAACACAGTGAAGATGATGACTTTTTCATCAACAGCCCGGCATCCAAACGACGTCGAACGTCTCGTGTTTCAAAAACTGACAATCGAAACCTAGGTCATACGTTAACTCTGGACGACCGGGCGAGAGTGCCGATCGGCTGGAAACCGCTCCGTACAACCAAACTGGGTTTCGAGTCCGGAAGCGATACGGACGAGTCCGATCGAATGAGTGACTTCGCATTGGACGCGTTTTCTGAAGCACACAGCATCGATGAAGATGACGATTCTCAATCAAGCACATCTCGTAGAGCCATACCTGAATGGCGCTCTAAAGCCTATCTATTGTTGGGACCTTCTGGTATCGGTAAAACATCAATGGTATACGCTTTGGCACACGATTTGGGCTTCAAGGTTAGTAATCTTCACCGTAAAGAGTTGAAAATCGTTTCTTTTAGGTTTTCGAACTGAACCCATCAACCCGTCGATCTGGAAAGGACTTATCGGATCAGTTTCAAGTCGCTTTGGATTCACACCACGTGGCCAAGGAACATCTGTTACACACTTTCAGCACATTCCACATGACAAGTAGGTCATTTTTAGCTTAACAGTTGGTCAAAACCACACTATTAGACTCGGTCAAACAAAGTTTTGGGCACCGTGGGTCGACAAAACCTCGCACGTCTGATTTTTTCAAACCGCGAACAAAATCGCATGAAACAGGGAAAAATAAAACCAGTAAAGTCAAAGGATTGACGAAAGATAAGGGTAAGATGTCTATTTTTCTTATTAACCTGATTGCGTGTCACGGCAACTTTAGGTCCTAAAGGACTCAATCTGAGTTGCAATTCTCTCGTTCTGTTGGATGAGGTGAGTCAAAGGCTGCTCAGTTAGACAGCAATTTCTACTGTGGTTTCTTATTCTTTACTTTTGGGGTGCGTTTACGAATTGATTAGTTCCCGAAGATCCGTAAATACGCTCTCATTTTTTGGATTCGCTTCGCTGGTACTGTTGTTGAATTCTTAGATTTTTCCATCGAAGGACTAAAACCAGTCAGTAACTTTCAGTGGCGGTCATCGCTCCATTTTATTTTCGAGGCCCACCACTGCGAACCCCGCTCCAACTTGACATTACATGCAGTCAAGCCAAGTAGTCGCTTTACGTACCTCGAAAAAAAGGTGACCCAATTGGTCTTAGTATACTTCAGTCACAATGACCACCATCTTAGTTGAGCGATGAGGAGTATTGGATACCCTGCACGTGCAAGACGCCTCTCAAAGATGTGAGGTCCAACTGATCAAATCCAACGAACCGCGGTTTTCACAAATCGCCCAGTTATTTTACGGGTTAGAATTTAGCTGACCCAAGACTGATTGTGAACCTATTGCTCGCTTTTTTAGGGCAACGTGGCAGTATCCCGCCCACTAGCAAATCATAAACCGTGTCATTTGTTATAAAGATTATTATACTGTGATTTGTTTGACGCAATCTGGAATCAGTCGCTCTTGAAGTAAACACTTACACATAATCTTAAATTGATTTCAGGACTCAGTTAGTTTTGTGATGCTTTCCTCCGCACCTCGAAATTTGAGCCCACTGTATGATTTTCGTGGATTCCTTCAACAACGGGTAGAGCTAGGACAAGCACAAAAAGATGATTATGCATTCAAATTGTAAGCGGCTCCGCATAGGATGGCTCGTATCATTAGACATGGAAACATAGCTGAAACGCTTCTGCGTACCGCGATCTCTTTTCACTTGAACGGGTTCAAAACAGTCTATAACGATGATGGTAAATGATGGTTTATGTGTTGCCAATCTGCTCTGAGGTATAGGTACAGTCGAGTGCTTACAAAGGAAGCAGTTGCACAACACAATGAACTGTACTTCTTACTCCAATGAACCAAAATCTTTGATAAGGACTAACGGTAAATTATTTCGGTAGTTTTTCATAGCTGGGCTCTATTTTCTTTTGACGTCCACGTGATACTGTTCACCCTGAAGCAATAATTTCACGCTGGACGTGTTGCGGAAGACAATTGCTAGATATACACAACATTAGACTTTGTTTTCACCATCAGTCTTCTACGAAAACTCTCAACTGTGCAGCACAGCAAAGCTGTTGTCCGAACTGATAGGCCTCCTCCAACCGGGAACCGAAGGGTTGACTTGTGTCTAAAGTGGTTGGACTTATAATCGGTTGATGAAAAATGAATCACAGACATTCGGTCCTAAAAGTATACTGTCATAGCGTCCAGGGTTTCGGTGTTGTACACCCCATTATTTCTTTTTTTCGGAGGGGGCAAAACCACAGCAGCGATGTAGTGCTTTGAGCCACATCTAGATAATTTCCACAGTTCCTCTCACGGTATTTTTTGTTTCTCATGTCGTTCTTAGGTGGATGTTCTGTTTGATAGTGATCGGGGATTTTGGAACGGGCTGGACAATCTACTCCAATTGGGACGGAGACCGATTATTCTGACAGCATCGGATCCGGCCATTATTCATGAGCTTCCAATATCTGCTCGTGTCTGTCGTGTCAAACCTCCGGATAAGGTGAGTATTCTGGGACATCTATCTCCTTTCGTTTATTGTGGTATGACGGGATTCGCATTCCGAGTCCCAGGGCTTAGGTTTCAGGCTACTGTAAGTGAACTGGCTCCGAACCAGTATCCCGGGTAAAGTGTATTAAAAACCTGGGCGCTTTTATTGATACTAATCTTCACTGGACCTCTTACATTCAGCGCATCGTCAGTAAGCTTCGACGACTTTCTTTTCATATCCATAAACTTCGTCAGTTTCGTATTCAACAGTCAATTATTTCCAACTTTGTGTTTTCCCTGTTTTACTTTATTGTTCACCTGTTATTTTTCCCAACCTCTTTAAGAAAGATTTTAATTTGCTTCGACGTGGATTGACCATTATTCACCGTTTCTCTTCAATCCCACTAAAGGAGTTGATAACTAGCCTATGCGAACGTCATTTAAATGCATGTGAAAAGTTTGCGCATAAGATTGTCATCGACTCCACACATCCGCTACACGCTGACTGTTGTTCCCATCCCTCAACTAGGTCACAATGTGGTTGTGTTCCCTATAGAAAAAAGTTTATCGTAACTCCCCAGTACCCTCATTAACACGTATTCTTGTTAACAAGGAACAGGTTTTCACAGACTTTGTTAACAGTTTTGNTCATTGTTATTTTCATTTTCTCCCTCGCCCCAAACTGTATATTTTTAACTGAAATGTGGGCTTCATGCTTGCAGAAGTTATTACAATACAATACAACATAAGGTCCTTGGGAGTATGGAGGTTGCCCCGTCCGTTGTTCGCCACTTCTCAATATGTTTGAAAAGATCCCTTTAGTGTTTTTCCAATAGGCACGGAAGCAGCTAAAGGCGCATCCAAGTATACAGACCGCACATTCTCTGGAACTTCAGTGCCATTCAAACTGTACCATGTCTTTAATCTGCGCCGCGTCTCTTTGCTTGGGCCTCATAATCGCTGTCTGACAGTGCAAAAAACACTACTTCAAATGTAGCCATTTTCTCCCAACACAATTACTCAACTACTGTGCTTCGAGAGCCGTGCTGGTTTGCAGACTACAAATGTGTGTATATACATGCATGTGCATAGCACCGATTTGAGAACAGGTATCGTACTAACATGATAGCAAGGGGGACATTTTTGTACTTATTTTACCAGAAGGCGAATCGGCTGGCAAACGTTTATTGATCCAATTCAAAAACAACCGGTGTACGTGTTCGATTATATACTATCAATTCTCAACCGCTCGGCAGGATGACTCATGCCTCATTCTGTTGGTTGTGGCCTGCACTTGACACGTACGTCGCCTCTTCTTTCGCGTGCCGTTCCGACTGGTTTGACCCGATCATAGCGCGAGATACATTGATCGACAGCTCCGACGTTTTGGTATTCGGTGGATATCTTTCTGGCTAGCTGCGGATTGCCTGTCGGGCTGTAATTGTCGATTCGTTCGTTTTGGATAGTAGAAGACATTGTTTCGCGAAGTACTTCCAGCCGCTACGTCTGCGAACCTGGTTGGACGGGCCCCATTCTTGATTCGTTTGCTAACCGGGACTCTCTTTGTACCACATTCCATCACATTATGAGAAAGGTTAAATACCGAGGACAAACAGATTACAGAGAACATTACTTTCAAGCACAACAATCTTTTTAGTTTATTATACTGTATACCATTCCCTAGCTCAGCTCGATTTCCCCTATCTCTCTATCTTTCATGATCGTTCCTTGCTTGCGATGAGGTTGATTTGTGTTGAGTGACGTTCTGAGCACCAGTATTCCCCATCAGTTGTAACCTTGGAAGTGGACGATATGACTGAGCTAGTACGAGCCGTGATACATACGACTGCAGAAACCCAAGAACCGAACGTACAAACTAGCGGAGTAGTAACGGTACACTGGTGCACCCGACTACGGTACCCCCGAGCAAGTCCCAATAGAACCGGAACAAACGAAAGCCGTACAATCCCCGAAGCCCGACCAGAGAGAAGACCTTCAGGCAAGGTTATATATTTCGCTCGACCGTAAAAGGCGAAGAAAGCGGACAACTTATCTGTTTTTAAACAGTTCGGGGACCGGCCATCAGTGACCTCGGAAAATAGGTCGAACGTAATGAGTCACGGGAAAATGGACCAATGAGGATCAAGCATGGCCGGTGGTGCGGAATGAGTCCTTTTTGAAGGAAAAATCTGGAAATTCAAATTTTATAAAAATAAATGGAAAAATTGATAATCATTTTGAGAAGACTATTGAATTATTCCCTATCAGGCGATACTCGTTGTGACCGAAAGTTTCTTTACACGGAAGTTTTATTTCTATATTATAATTTTCCGTTTTTTAGTGTTGATAATACGGGATCTAAACCGCACGATGTCTCCAATAATACTTCACTCAGTGGTCGATCATTTAGTTCATCACTAGTCAGTAGTCATTTCCGCACACGTGGACACAAAACTCTAAGCGGTTATTGTGAACGTATGAAATCCACTTCAGACTGCGAATCATTGCGCTAACTTATCTGCATTAGCATTCTTCTCTTATAAGCTGCCTGTCAGGAAATTCTAATAATTTTCAAAATAGCAGTTGGGAGCATATACAGCAATTAAATGAGTTTAAACCAATCTTAAACAATATTTTGTTCTATGGTATGTCCCATTTCTTTTATTATATCTCGTTCAAGTTATCTTAGAGCTACGTTTATCTCTTTTTTCACTCATAACTCACATTCCTGTGTAGAATATTATAAAAATATATAAGAAACTTCAATGGTATTTCGCTGCTCATTGTGAACTCATTCATCTTCACAATTTT